CTATGTAATATGTGCTGTGTACTACGTGTATAATACGTACTATGTGCTACGAACAATGCGCTATCCAGGCTCAGTTGATGCAGAAAGAATAGGTCTGCATGTGCAGATGGGTGGTCAGGACGACGCCCTCTCCCGGTGAGGAAGAATTTAAGAAGGGAAAACTAGGGCACAGTCACGGTTTCAGCTCTGAATGCGTTTATTTTTGTCTCTGTTGAGGTGACGTTTCGGATTATGGTTTAGTCCGAACAGGGGATGCCTGTTTGGACCAATGTTTTCCATATAGAACGAGGTAGGCCAGACTTAGATCTGTCTGGTAGCAGGGCTGGACGTGAGGCTCATCTGCACAGGCCTGGCTCAGTCCCTGGTGCGCAGAGGCAGGGAGAAGAAAAGTCGATCAACCTGGCGAAGGCTGGAAAAATCGGCGAGGAAAGCCGACTGCCACTCCTTTGATGGACAAAGATGCTGAGGGCACACCGGTACATCTGGGATCTTCGGCATGTATGCGGTCTGGCTCGCCTTCAGTTTCTTAGGGTCCACACGCACTGTCTTCACTCCTGGGCATCTTGACGCTTCCCATCTGAGCAGGCAGGTGGGGGGAAAGGATAATGGAGGCAAAAGAATAAAGATGTCAATCAGTGCTCAAACTCATAAGCAAATATTCCACATCACTACTTGAGGAGGAGGAGGAGGAGCACAAGAAGAAGAAGAAGGAGGAGGAGGAGGAGGAGGAGGAGGAGGAGGAGGAGAAGGAGATGAAGAAGGACTTTTATGCAAACTCTCCCATACAGGCCCTTTCTTCTGTTTTATTTCCCAAAAGAAAAGGCGACAGCTTGTCCTTCGGGACATCCGTTAAAATTGGAACGATACAGAGAAGATTAGCATGGCACCTGCGCAAGGATGACATGCATAAATCAAGAAATGGTCCAATTTAAATTAAAAAAAAAGAAAGGGCGACAGCCTTTAGATATCATCACTAAAGAGAAAAACAATCATTAAGGAAAAAAAAAAACAAAAAAAAACGGAGTACCAAAAAAGTTGAAAAAACAAACAAACAAAAAAAGCCATGGCTACCATGGACGTGGACACGAGACCTATCCGGATGCCAGATACCGGATGTCAGACGCTCTCGGGTATAAAGATGACATGCGGATCAAGAGAGGGTGCCCTAAGAGAATATTTTACTATGCTCGACTTTCGAGTTGATTTTTGTTTGCCTCAAAAGGGCATACAGTAGAGATGAAAAGATGAGAGAATTAATCCCAAAAAAAAAGGAGAGATGATAAATACAATAGAGACTACTAAAGGGAAAGACAGTAGAGAGATGAAGAGAGGAGAAAATGAAGGAGTGGACGCACCCCAGAATAGATCGGGCAGCCGTGTATGTGTGGGTTGAAAATAAAAATAAAAAATGAAGGAGTGACGTCGTTATGGAGCAGGAGATGAAGCAATGAATGTTAAAAGAAAGAGAGAGAAAGAAAGAAGGGAAAAAAAAAAAAGGACCCTTACTAGGACCTTCAGCCAAAACTTGTTCGCATGGCTACGACCTGGACCATCGGACAGGGATCCGGACCGTCCGGGGTTCGGCGCCCGGTATCAGATTCCGGATCCCGGTCCGGATAGGAGGGGCCAGGGCCAACAGGCAATTTTTTTTTTGGTGGTCCTGGGTGTTTCTCCACCCCCAGGGCCGCCAGAGAAAAATCGGACCCTGATTCTCGGAGGCCCTGGGCGGCAACCGGACCAAGCGGGAGGTGCACTGTGAAGTAGATTGGTCTCTCTCTCTCTCTCTCTCACACACACACACACACACACACACACACACACACACGCACACTTCCTCTTCGTCCCCATCCTCCACCTCCCCTGCTTCCTCCTCCTCCTCTTTGCACCATGACGGCAACCAGACCGAGCAGGAGGAGCAGTGTGAAGCAGATCTCTCTCTCTCTCTCTCTCTCTCTCTCTCTCTCTCTCTCTCTCTCTCTCTC